AACAAATGTAATAAAAATCAGGATGTTTCACGAGTTTGATCAATACCTGTATATATCCCACCACTTGCCCATGGGGATCTTAAATGACTCGTCGTCACTCATGGGCCAATTTGCCGGTTACCTTTTTCATTCGATTATGAGAAGTACACAGAACAAGATCACTATCACTTATGCAAGCTCTCACTCAACAATCGCACTCATAAGCATTCGCGATTTGAACCGTAATATTGATTCAGTACATACAGTTTCTTCAAGCCACTTTTGCTTTGTTTTTATACAAAAAGTAACTTTCTTCCAACGTACAGACATCACCTACCCTCAGTACCCCGATAATTCCCCTCACACACAGTCAGTGTTTATGCGTTTCTCCACCATTCTCTTGTTTCTATTCCATTATTCCACTTAAATCTCACCGAAAATGTGTTTCAGTCTGTGTGACCGAAACTTTGGTTTCCTGCTTTCGGTTATTACTTCAGCACCATGTACATTGTTCCCCAAATAGTAGTGATCCTTCTCTCTCTCTGACATTTTACCGGCAAACACTGAGTACAAGGTTGAAACAGATCCCAAAGCTCAGTTCATAATTCTGGATGATTTTATTGTCCTTATTAGGGTAGTTGCACTTTGCAGCCCCGTTGGACGTGAAGCAGTATCATTTGCCCTATTGAACAATTTACCCTAGCTGGTTGATTTCCCGACCCGTATCCTCGACCGTGCTAGCGACCACGCATCACATTCAACTTGCAATCGTTTTCCAAGATTGCTACAATTTCTCCACTGGGTTGATCGTCACACTGTTCTATTTCACTTTCTGCCCAAATTATCCGTTTCCTCTACCTCTCGCAAATCCAGACGTAAATCTGGAGAAACGGATCGGTCCCTTTTGTGCAGCTCTCTCCAATTTTTCCCATTTTACTCCTGGACTGACTGCTGTTTCTCCACCGATATCTCCCTGTCAGTTTCGAAGTTTTCCAACGTTCCCTTACAAGGCATGCACGTATTGATGACTAATTTTACTCAAACCTATTTCCCGCAGATGGTTTACTCACAAATTGTGTTCGTAAAAAGAAATCCGTGTTCCGTCGCTGGTCTCACATACCCCTACCCCCTCCCCTCTCACCCCGATCATGTTC